GCGCACTGGCACTCCCCTGAGATGGCCTCCAACAGAAACTAGTTGTTCCTGGCAAGTTTATCCTCATCATTATATTCTGGCTCCGAGCCATGCAGCCAGACACAGCCGGATAATGAGCTGCTTTAAAAAAAAAAGAAGAAGAAGAAGCATTATTTCTCCTTTTCTTCCCCTTCTCCTTCATCCTCCTCTCTTCTCTTAAAATTGTGTGTGGTCACGTGAAACCGAGGCAGAGCCCTGTAAACACACACGCAGGAAGAGGATATGGAGAAAAAAAAGAAATCGATAAATGATCAGCATCACACAGATGGTGGCAGAGAAGGGACAGCCGACAGTGTCTTATGGTCATAGTAAGACTTTATGCCTTCCAGCATGTGTGAAGCTACAAGGATGAAATAGAGATGGAAGAGAAGAGGGACGAGGATGAAATGGTTAGGGCTGCAGACTAGGACGAAATGATGGAGAAGAAGAAGAAGTAGATTCAATTCATTTTTGTAGCTGGATTTGTTTTACACTTTTGTTAAAAGATTTTATGAAAGAAAAAAAAAACCTCAATCTTTCATGTGAGGCGATGACCTAAGGTTGAACCCTGTACAAATTGTCTTTTTATTTTTGTGTAACTGAAACAGTACAGCGTCTGTTCAGCTCCCACATTAACAGCTACTAAAGTCAGAATCACAAGAACAAATACTCTGACCCTAAGAGCTGATGTCATTACAAGAAAACACTTAATGCTTTGGGGAATTCATAGTAGGTCATGTTTAAATAGTGCTTTTTAGGCATTTGCTCTGACCCTTTTCCACACAATAAAGATTTAGAAAGAACTCTCTAATGTATTGATATGATTTATTTCTGTTCAACTTTGCCCAAGATTGGTTCCGTGCTAACATGTGATATAATGAAAACCGACCAATAATGTAATTGGACGTTAAGTGTTGTAACATCTTGAACAAGTTCAGAACCGATCTTGGGTACTAAGTGTTCTGTGTGAGCATTTGTGTACTGGAGCTGAATCCATTTCTCTGAAGTCCGTTGAAAAGGACCATTTGTCAATAATATTTGTCTTTAAACTGAATGGAATTGAACTCAGCTCCGGTTGCACAGTCTTGTGAATAAACGTGTTCCATCTTCTCATTTCACCCGTGTCCATTCTGACGATTTACACAGTCTTCTGTCCTCTAGGTTCCCCCCACACATGGTGCCCCCTCACCACAGTTTGCACACCACCGGCATCCCACACCCGGCCATCGTCACCCCCACCGTCAAGCAAGAATCCTCCCACAGTGACATCAGCTCTCTCAACAGCTCGTGAGTAGCCACTTCCTCTGGACTTAAATTGCCTTTCTCTCTTATCTCTTACTTGACCTTTAACCAGCCCGTGGTTCCGTGGTGCTGACCCCTCATATCCCATGGTCCCCAACAGGAAACAGTCAGACGCTAAGAAGGAGGAGGAGAAGAAGAAGCAAGTCCACATAAAGAAGCCTCTGAACGCCTTCATGCTCTATATGAAGGAGATGCGGGCCAAGGTGGTGGCTGAGTGCACACTGAAGGAAAGTGCTGCCATCAACCAGATCCTGGGGCGGAGGGTAAGTCTGCAGCTGATTTATTTCAGTCCTTTGAGGACCTGGACCTGACTGGCCAGAATCGTGAGCCTAAGTCTGTTTTTACTTTTTTTGTTCCAGTGGCACGCCTTATCACGGGAGGAGCAGGCAAAGTACTACGAACTGGCAAGGAAAGAACGACAGCTCCACATGCAGCTGTACCCAGGCTGGTCAGCACGAGACAACTATGTAAGTTTTTAAGTTTTCAAGTCGTAACGACTCGATTCTTTCCCTCCCATCAGGTCACAAGACCAGGGCGAGTGGTTATTTATTTTCCTTTTTTTTTTTTTTAATTTCCTCTCCTTTTTCTGTAATAAATATTCAAGGTGTATTTGAAACCAGACACCGCACTTTGACCCCAGTAGTCCCAGTAGTTTTTTTTTATGAGAAAGCCTGAACATGAAGTTGATGACAGTTATACTTAGTGAATATTTTGTACTCACAAAACTTTCTTCTGATGTTCGAGTGCAAGACTGCTTCTCAATTTGATGCAGTTTTGGGGTTTAAATTGACCAGCGGAGTCTTCCATGAGCCGCCTCCGAGAAATCCAGAGGCCTGTCAAGACATCTCTAGATGTTCACACAGACAAGGAAAATGAGACAAAAGATGAGAGACGAACAAAAAAAAAAAAAAAAAAGGAGAAAAGAACGCAGATTGAGGAGGGAGTATTTGGTTCTGGCCTGCAGTGGCTGTTACAAACCTGAGGGCAGAGTCAGGAAAGAACACAGAAGAAGAACGAACGAATGAATAAATAAATGAGCAAACACAAAGACAAGTCCTTTTCTCTGTTTCATGTTTTGGGCATTTTGCTATATAATAACTAAGGTTCCTGTCTGTGTCTATTCTTTTTTTTTCTTTCTATTTTTTTGGCGGCTAACCAACAGGGGAAAAGGAAGAAGAGAAAAAGGGAAAAGCAGCAAGCAGAGAGCAATGGTAAGTGAGCTGCAATTATCTCTCATATTAGAAAAGCCCCATCATGTGTCAGGCATATGTGACATCTTGCAAGATAAAAGTCAAGCTTGTTTTTTTTTTTTTGCGTGTGTGTGTGTTGTGTTGTGTGTGTTTTTTCAGTCTGTATGCGTGTAATTTTGCCTGGCTTTTTTTTTTTCTTTTTTGTATCATTTGCTACCCAACACAATGTTTAAATAATAGAGTTGCTCTTTATATATATCCCCTCTTTTCATTTTCCCCAGCTAATAATGACTGAATATGCATGACCCCCTTAAAGCCCTCCTCACCCCCTCTCCTGACACTCCCCGCCCCCCCACCCCACCCCTTTTTGCCCCCCAGTGTTCTGGTATTGTGATATGTTTGTTTTGCGAATGTGAACTTAAAGCATCATGAAAGCCATGCCCTTTGCTAGTGTTGTGTGTGTGTGTGTGGCATTGTTTTATCATGCCTGTGCCCTGCAGATAGACTGCACCACTGTACTGGTACCTAAGTGTGTGTGTGTGTGTGAGCTTGTCATGCTGCCTCTTGCTTGCTTCCTTGCATGCTTCTTTATTTTTACCAACATAAAAAGACAAAAAAAAATCACGCTTTAAAAAATTAAGGAGGTTTGCTATTTCCATGATTTATTCTTTTTTGTATTCCTATGATTCATATGCTTCTGATCATATTGTTAGGAGCTCTGCAGACTTGTTACCATGTATCATGGGCTCGTTTGGTGATGGATCTCTTCTTGAAGGCCTCTCTATCTGTTCTTTTTTTTTTCAGAACACAGAGAATATTTTCCAAACCCTTGCCTTTCACTCCCTCCGATTACAGGTGCTAATGTCATTTTCAGTATTAAATCACTAACTTGTTTTTCTTTCTTTTTTATTCATTTTTAAATGTATATTTAAATCGATACGTGTGCACTCCTAGAAAGCCCTCATTCTAAATTTTACACTCTGAAATGTGCAATTTTTTTTTCACTCTGTTTGCTGCTTCCGTTCTTTTCTTAATGCTAATTTTCCTCTATTGCTATTTGACTGTTTTTTTTTAACATAAGATAAATATTTAATTTCTATTTATTCCTCTCGCTGCCTAGTCCGGAGCAATTTCTGTATTTCAGTACAATTGTGTTGCTGAACGCTTGAGGGAAAAAAAAAAGTGTAGTAGTATTAGTGGTTGTGCAGTTAGACCTGAAAGATGATGTCAGGGTAAACCTCCTTAATCTATACGCTTCAGAAGCCACGCTTGTGCCTTTCCTCTGGGCCAGCATGAGTTTGGCCTCCTCGCCTTTAAGTCTGACTCTGCAGATTAGGCCCGGATTCAAACACTTCGCCACAGTCACGCTGCTCTGCTTCCGATGATGACACGATTACTTTTTTTGAACGAGCAGATGACTGGCAGCTTCTCTGCTGCTGACAGCCAATGTTGATGGAAAACTGTCAAGTGTTTGAAGCTCGGGCTAAAGAATTGATTCCCCTCTTCCAGTTCCAGCCTTTTAAACTCTTCCTGGCGAGGCCTGACTCACAGCCGTGCTGTTTAAGCAATCTGCCACTGCTGCCTCGTTTCTCACACTTTGACCTTGTTCTGTTAAAAACCCTAGTAGTGCACCGATAACATCTAGCCGCAAATCTGCATCGGTTCTGCTTCAGTCCTCTCAACCTGACAGGAAGTGACTTACCTTGAGTTAGACTAAAGATTTAACTGACTAAAAGTGATTTGATTTGCATGCATTTTGATTTTTACTAATGTCTGGAGAGAAAAAAAACAATCTTTAATTGCACACTCTGAATGGCTTAATCAGGGTTTTTAAGGGGTTTGCACTTTGAGCCACTGCCAAGCTTCATAGATTCACTGTTATCTGTTTTTTTTTTCTCCTCATTTCTCTCCTTCCTTTGATTTCCTTCTTTTGGTTTTTCGGTACTGTTACTCCTCTCTGCTGGCTTCCCTTCCCTGTTGCGGCATCAGACCTGAGCGCTCCTAAGAAGTGTCGAGCGCGCTTTGGGCTTGATCAGCAGAATAACTGGTGTGGCCCGTGCAGGTGTGTATGATGTGTGCCTGCACTGGCCAGGGCCAGGTGGCGGCTGGGTAATTGTGCTGGGACTTCCTCCTCTGCTCCGTGCTGCTGCTGCTGCCTGTGTTTCCTCTTCTCTTTCCTTTCCTTCTTTTAGTGTGTTCTGCCAAGCTATCATGGCCTCTCAGCTACCTCCAGCCATGCCCTGCCGGTCTGTCTGTTGGGTTCCAACCTTTAATATTTACTCCTATTTAGGAGCTGGCTTTAGCAGCAGACTGTATGCCAGTGTTTGTATGAATGTGTGTAAAGTCCTAGGATTCCTTTTTTTTTTTACAGGAAGTACAGTACAGTAAGATTCAGTGAAACTGGCAGGTCAGGGCTTGGAGGTTCTGGAGCCTAATGGTTTGGTCAGTGTGGAGGACATCCCAGTGTTGCCAGCCTAAACCTAAGCCCTGGCTAAATGTTTTTGTCCATGCAATGACGTGTCCTTTTTCTTTTTTGTTCTTTCTTTATTTTTTTTTTCCCCTTTTTGTCTCTGTGTGTATGTTTGTGTCTACCTCTTCGGCTAACAGATGCAAATACCCCAAAGAAGTGTCGTGCCTTGTTCGGGCTTGACCAGCTGAGTTTATGGTGCAAACCATGCAGGTATAACTCCTGTTGTACCAGTGACAGGAAGACATCCACAGTCAACGGCGTCTTCTTCTTGATTATTGGCTCAGATTTCTCTCTTAAAACACGTTTCTGTCTGTGTGGTATCAGATGGCTAATTCCTCCGCTATTACTCCTCGCTGAGGAGTTCTTGCTAAATTGCTGCACCATTTTTCTTCATGAAGCTTTCGTTCAACCCAGTGGCAGAAAATGGATTTCTAAAATGAGATTATTGAATTTGTCTTAAACCGTCCCTCTGCAGTGAGAAAACGCTCTCACTTGACTGTAATTTTTGTCCAACTTTTTCAAAAGGCTGAAATCCATTTTCTCTCCAGGCAGTGGGTTTTCTCCCCCTCCCATCGTGACTGTCGTGTTTGTTCTAATTGGCTCCCTTTGAATAACAATGTGATGCTTGAAAATTTAGCCCTGATTTTTCTGAGGGCCTGCTCAGTGACACTCTTTTCTGTGCCCTCTTCCTCCTCCTTCTCCTCCTCCTCCTCCTCCTCTTCCTTCTCCAAACTCCTCTTCAATAACCCTTACTTAGTCCCTACCTGTTGTCTTTCTGTTCTGACACAAGCAGTCTTTGAATTGGGAATGTTTTCATGGTAGGTATTTGTTTCTGCTCAGTAATTCCACTCTCTGTTGTCCTCTCACAACACACATCTGTTCATTTTCACCTCACCACCGCCACCACATGTAGTTATTGTTACTCTCTTAACAGTGATTCGCTGAGGCTTACAGTTGAGTCTCAAGTTGAGCGACGGAAAAAAAAAATAAAGGTGGATTTAACTATTGTAAAAATATGAAATACATATATAACTTAAAATATAAATATAAAATTGAAATACATATATAACTTAAAATATAACTTATAAATATACAATTTCAATAAACTTTAAATGAACAGTCGGTATAGTTTGATAACTGCAGGGATGTAAGGCTGTAAGCTGGCATTTTACACAGCAGTATTGAATCACTAATTCATTTTACAATTTTAAATTCAACCTATTGCCAGTTTTTCTTTGTCTAAAAGAAATGCTGTTTTTATTTTTTATTTTATTAGTAATAAAGCAATTCCCAGCAGCATTTCCTTTAAGTCAAATTTGTCAAACGGTTAATCTAAAAATATATTCTATTGAATTTATACTAACGGTAGGAGAAGAAAAAGACATTTAAACCCCACCCAGCTCGGCAGTCTCCCCCTCTAGAGTTTCTCATTTCCCCGCCAACAGTCCAATATCCCTTAAAAATATAAGTTATTATAAGTTCAGGAGACAGGAAAGAGCAATGTTACAGCACTTCTTTCTCTCCTCTTTCTCATAGAGCCGAGAGGTTAAAAGTTCTCTCTGGGCTCCGTTTCCTAAAAGATGCATCTAGTGTAATTTCCCCCGAGACGGAGAAATCAATAACACACACAGGCACATACGATGAATCAATATGTCTGTTAAAAAAATGGATATTAGCTCATTTGTTGCAGTTTGACAGACAGTTATCGAAAGCAAGATGTGTATGTAGTGGCAAAATGATACCTTTTTACGCCGGGTCGATACGCCGCACCGCCCAGTGCTACACTCTCAGTGTACTTAAAAGCCTGATCCCCGCTCTCCCCCGGACTTTTCTAGTGTTCCTCACTGTCTGGTGTTCGTGCTTGTACTGTGGCGCTTATCGGAATTGCATGTCTGTCTCTCAGCCCTAGCATGCCCTCAACATTTGGCAAGACATTTGTTCCTGCTCCTCCGTTTGTTTTCTCTCAGAACCCGGCTCTCTCTTAGTCATTATGTCTAATGTTTGCCCTTCACTCTCACACAAGAAGAATTGATCTGACGACTCAACTTAAACATTAGCGCAGCCTTACCTTTCACCAAAACAGCTTTATTTTGTGTGGAGCCCTCGGTCATCTTTTTTACCTACTCACTGTCCCTGTGAGTCTTAAACGCTAACCCCTCCATGGCCTTCAGGCATCTTTGTGATAGAATGGAGAGCTGAAAGAGAGGGGTCACTGCCAGGGTCAGGGTAAAGACGAGGTGGGCAGAGATTCCCCCTTAACCAAATCTGAACTCATCCCTCGCAGTAGAGTCACCACACATGAATGCAACAATCCCCTGCTCTCCTCCAACTCCCCTTTTCCCTCCTCTCCCATGTTAGCTCATTGGGTTCCACGGAGTACAATGGGCCAGGCCCCGGGACTCAGCAGGCAGGGGGAGGGGTCCTGACCTGCAAACATGATGCCTTGACCCCTCACTCACACACATGCACACTTGTGTCTCGGGGCAGATGCAGGCTAATGTGGATCTTGTTGACTTTTTCGCCTCGCATCCAAACTTCTTCCCCTCAGGAAGAGAGTAGAGCCAGATCCAGGCAGAGGAGCGAGGGCCAGTGAGAGCAGGTCCACTGGTCTGAGCTGCTGCAGAGAGAGAAGAAGCCGATCCCCCAGCTGTAACACTGCTCACAAGACAGGCAGACTTTACATCCAGAGAGCAATCACCAGCACATCGAGTCATCTTCATATAGTTAGCTCACCCATCATCTTCATCATCATCCTCGTCATCATCGTATCTGTGTGCTTCTCATTCTTCTGCTGCCTCCTCTTGGTTCTATGCCTACAATCTCCATCTCCGTCCTGTCCAATGATTTAGCATCTGGACCATTTCTGCCTTCTTTTCTTAGCACACGTTATGCAGAGCCACCTAAAAGCACCTTTGAACTGCTGATTTTCCAAATGAAAAAAACAAAACAAAAAAAAAACAAAATCAAAGGTGCCTTTAAGTGAGCGGCCGTGCTAAGACATGATGCGGTTTTGAAGATTTGTCGTTAAAGCTGTTTTCTTTGGCCTTGTTCCCCAGGAGAAAAAAAAAGTGCATTCGCTACATCCAAGGTGAAGGCAGCTGTGCCAGTCCTCCCTCTACGGACGGAAGCTTACTAGACTCCCCCCCTTCCTCCCCCTCCTCAGTGGTCCCCTCGCCATCCTCAAAAGAGTCCAAACCTCAGACTGAACAAATGCAACCTCTCTCACTGACTATGAAACCGGCCCACCCGCCACTCCATCACCCGCACCTCCTGACTGGGCCTCCACCGCCATCTTTGGTTCAGTTTGAAAACTCCGCTGCAACTAGCAAAACGCCAGGCGCCTCCTCCCACAACGGAGCCCTAGAGCACGGCGACGTCTCGTCCTCGCGGCAGCCGGGCTCCTCGGTGGCGTCCTCACTGGCCCGGCCCTCGGCATTGCTGTGTCATTCCCACTCGCTCCTCTCCTCCACCGCCTCCCAGCCTTTGTCGCTAGTGACCAAGTCTATAGAATAGTCAGCGCTATAATGAAACTTTTGTTCCTCTCTTTTCTAGCTTTGCATACACACTCTGCAAATGCACACACACACACACAGAAAGCACACACACACGTTCACTCTACGTTCGTCCGTTCTTTTCCCTTTGTATTCCTGAGGCTTTGAAATTTTAGTTCATGATTTTATTAAGGTTCATTGGTCAATATTTGACCCATCATTATCGAAAAAAAAAAATTCTAACTATTATAAAGAAATGATACAATGAGCTGTAGTATAGCTTTGTGAATCTGCCAAAATTTTTATGAATTTCGTTTTTGTCTTTTTTGTAGTGTTCAACAGTGCAAACAAGAAAAAAGTGGTTAGCTCAACTTCAAAATGTCTAACGGCGGATATAAAATGGTAGGCTAGATCGTTCAGTGAGCCCTTTTCTTGGAAGAGTTGGTTCTACTTCTTTATTTGTATTAAATACGAGCCTGCGAACCAATCATCTGACACCTGTTCAAAATCTAGGAGGGCATGAGGCTAGTGGTGACACCTCACTGAGGAACAACTTTTATTGTGATGTTACTTGTTCTTGTTTAAATGTACAGAATATGGGAGGGGGGTTACCGTGTTAAATATGCATTCTTCCACTGCGTTGTCCTTTTTTTTTCTTTTTCCTTTGTTGTTTACGGGGTGGGAGGGTTTTTGAGGGTTGTTAAATTGAGAAATGTCACAACGCTAGGACCAGTAGTATTTATTGCTTTAGAGATTGCTTGTTGTACCTTGTATTTGTCTCTTTCTGGCCTTCTTTTCCTAATACATTGTACAAATCTTTTTTTCTTAAGGTAAGCGACTTATATATGAATGATCCATTTTTACAGGGAGGTTTTAAAAGGCAAAATATTTTCTTTTTTTCTTTTTTTTTTATTCATTTCTTTCCATGCTGAAAAACCTGGATTCCACTTGGTGTACTGCGTCGGTCTCATTAATGCTGCGTTCACAGCGAACATGATGCCTGCATCGCGCCGCTTGAATCAGCACTTCGTTCACACTCGTCGCGAAACACAGTCAGTAATGTAGTAAAACTCCCAAATTACAGGAGAGTGCCACCTCCTGGCTAACTTTGGCCCATGCCTATGCTTTCTAATTCCGGTCCCGATAAATAGTAGCAGCGGTGTCCGTGGCCACAGACAGCGACAAGTTCTTCCTCCATTGTTTACAAACTTCTCTGCTTAACTTCAGGGAGGTGATGTCGCTGATTGGATGTTGTGGCACCAAGCCTGAGAAGTTCACTATTTCCAAATTCATTTGGGTCGCATCAGACGCTCCAATTGCGACATTGACACTGATCGCGTTTGGTGTGAACGCCCCATAACACTAACACAGTATGCACAGGTTCATTTCAACACTGCGTCTATAAGCCATTATACAGAAATAAGAAAAGAAACACTTGAAGAAGAGACAGCAGCGAGTACCGTGTCGTCAGTAGTTTGAAATGTGTCTGAAGCCCTTTTTTTATTGCACAGTCACATCTCTCTGACTGTAAATTTGTGTACAGATTTTCCGTGCCAAATTCTGTCATCATTTCTGCCCCTCCATCCATGCTGTAGGGAGTTCTCCAAATTCTTGTTGTTTTTGTTTGTTTTTTTTGGCGTCGTCGTTCGTTCCTTTGTTTTAGTTTATTTTTGTCTCCATTTCCATCCATCATACCATTCTTTGCTGTGACGTTACATAGATTGCTATGTATGTAGTATAAATGTTGCTATAACAAATGTGTTTGGTAGCAAATTGTCAAATATTAAAATTTAAACTTAATGAAAAGACAGACATCATACTGTACAAACCCACTCGGGCCAAATTATGTATATTAGGAGGTTCATAAAAAAACTATTAAATACAAAAAAATACACAAACTGCCACTTTTAAGTACACTACTACATATAGGTAGATAGAAAAAATAGGCATGTTGATGTTGCAAGAGGCTGTAAAAAAAGCTACAAGAGAATCATCCACTCGGTGCCATTGTAGTTGACATGACGCGACTGTAATCTGTCGATTTCTTCTCTGGTTTATTAAGATGCTAATGATAAATAGTTTGAATGTTTCCTTAACGGCTGTGATGTTCCTGTTCTATTTTATGCTCTTATCTTTTCGTTTGTTTGTTTTTCCTGTTATTTTAAATGGTTCCAGAACCATGTTTTTGTAATGAATAAATGTTTATGCTGTACAGTCTCTGTAGCATGCAGTTCTGTATTAATAAAAGCAACTTAGTATGTGCACAAGCGTGGCTTCTGTTTGTTCAGCTGCAGGGGGCGCTGGAATTGTCCTTTAAAGAGCTGTTGTGAGACTAATCCACGGTCGTTGGAAGGAACTCTGTTGTAAGCGGTTGATTGACTACAGGCTGGTCAGATGTTGGTCAGGAGAAAGGATGCATGTCATAGGTCTGTGTGTGTGTTTGGCTTCTCTGAGTGCAACACACTGTATGTCAGTAGTGTGGCAGTAAAGTCGCAGTGTCCACAACAAAGTGGTCATGAAGTTCATTCTATGACTGCTCAGTATTTCTGAGCAGCTTATGTATATGTGTATATATAGTAATCATAGTGTCTAATCAGCATCTTGATATGCCACACCTGTGAGGTGGCTGGATTATCTCAGCAGATCACTAACTCTAACTTTAGACAGATTTATGAACCATATCTGAGAGAAATGCTTCTTTTGTACATATATATATATATATATATATACTTAGCAGTTTGTAGTCATTCTTTTTGTATTCTTCACCTTCTTTTAGGTCTCTTCTTCTCAGTTCAAATGTGCTTTTTGAAAATATTTTCTCTGTTTTCTATTAATTTGGTTTCTCCTCCTGTCCACCCTCGCCCGCCTGTCCTTGGTCTTGATCTTTGGCAACCTTTGTTTACCTTTATTTTAATACAGTCATTGCTAAAAAAAAATCCTTGAAACTGCTTGAATAATTGGAGGAAGTGCTTGAAGATGCTTATAAAATATGCAGCAGAGCGTTTGTTTTGCAACAAACGAATTTTCCGACTTACCCTCGGGTCTGAGAAATAAGGCAAGTCGGGGTGATTTACCGGTGGCGATACTTTTGACTTGGGAATACACAGCCAGAAATCTCTGAAGCTTAACCTTGTGAAAGACATACTGTACAGACTCCTCTCTTCTCTCTGATCTCTGTCGACTTGCATGCATTTACAACAAATAAAGCGTTTAATGGTAAAGAAAGGAGTGCGTGGTGACTGTGCTGTGTGGTTTGGCCTTTGTGGAGTGATGAACTGGTGGCCAGTGGGCCAAATTCGGTCTGCTCCAGTGTCCAGTTATGGCCTGTGGATTTCAAAATCCAATAATCCAATCAAATAATAATGTGAAGAAAATTAGATTTTTACTCCTTTTATTTAAGTGTCCGGCCCCCAAGGTGTCTGTCCAGAACAAATATTCTTGGTGACCCCTGGTATAGAGTCTCCATGTTCCTCCAGTGGTTGTGTTTTTTTCCCACAGACTAGAAACACACAGGACTGGGTTTACTGTTTACTCATAATTGACTTGGTCTAAGTGTCGGTGTGAATGCTTGTTTGCCTAGACGTGGCCTCAGGATTGACTAGTAAACAGTCCCCCACCCTGTGAACACAGTTTGAACTGTACCTTAAACACTATAATTGTGCTGTGTACCCTTTCTTTTCTTTTCCATGTTCTGTTTGGGACGCTCATTTCAGCAGATGACAAACACTTGACAGTCTTCTAGAAGGCCCAGCACACTGCACTGTGAAGTTGGTTGTGTTCAGTTGTTGACATGAGAAGACATGAGATTTATATAAAGTGGCTCTTAACAGGGCATCTCCTTAAAACTGATAGTGGATGTCTTTTTCATTTACCTTGTGTTTTTAGTAGTTTCACTGGTGAAAAGTCATCACTTCGAGCCCATTATCTCCACTGTGATTTTTTGATTTTCTTTTTTTTTTTACATATTTGTCTTCATCAGAAGGAGCAGAAAGGCACAACTGTGGAGTGACAGTGCCTCTCCTTAATATTAGTCACGCACTGTGGAAAAGAGGCAGCCCTAAAATTCACCGTGCAGTCAAGCAGCTCGGAAAGATGCAGCTGCGTGACAGACGTAGATGTCGCACTTGAACGTGGTTTTAATGAACAGATCGTCCTTCAGTAAATTCCCAGCGCAGAAGAACAGAAACCAGGGGGATGGGTTCAGTTGTAATCAAGCAAAAGCGGGACTTTGCTTTGTTCCCTTTGAATCGGTGCAGCGTCCTCACTTAATGCGTCCGTGTGGGCCATACCCTTGAACTGTAAACGGTCGAGCGACAAACAACATGGAAGCGTCCATGATTCCTCTATTACATTTCAAGAAAGAGAGAAATTCTTTGTGTACCTGAGTAAAGAAATGATGTTTTTTCGTGTCACTGTGGTATGAAGGAACAATGTTGAAGGCCACCGCTGCAGACGAAGCCTACAAATCTGAAAACAAATCCAAACATTAAATATGTCTCCTAGGTTACAACAAACAGAATATTCAAAGGTATTATATAAAAAATAAAAGGAAGTTAACGTTATCATACCAGCTGGATGAAAACATACTCGGTGTCCTCAACCCAGGATGAAAATATGTTTTAGTTTTACAGCTTCAAATGTTAAAGATCTTTTCACCCCGATAAGGTTATTTATGTGAATTCAAAAGTAATCAGATAGATGTTTCTTCATTTGTTTGTTATTTTCTGTGCTTCTCATCGCACGTTTTTTAAGATCAATCTACCAATTTTGTCAAGTTCAGTTCTAACAATATTCCTTGAAAAACAACATATTATAATACCACTGATGTGACCTTTACCATGGAGCCATTCGCTCAAAAGTTTTAGCATTTCATGCAAATTTCTCCTTTGTTAAAACATATAAAGCAAAAGTAACGTACCAGAAGGAGGTTTTTACGTCTCGCATCATCCAGGGCTCTTTGGAGGCAAATTAATAACAAAAAAATAAAAAGCTTAGTTCCTGAAGGATATGTTGAGCCACCATCCTGTAGAATCCTAGGATATGTTGAGCCACCATCCTGTAGATGGTAAACCAGCCCTCTTCCCTGGATGGAAAGGTCCAGTCACCTGGCTGATGGAAGACCTTCTCATAACTTGTTTTTTCTATTTTTTTTTTCTTTTTTGCATAATATCAGGACTCTAGTCACATAATTGAATTAATTTTATGTATAAAGTGATTTCTGTTTTGAAGGAATTGTT